ACGACCTCACAAAATGGTAATATTCTTCCATACGAAAGGGGGTACCGGTGGAGACCGAAGGAGGGCAGTATAAGATACAAAACCTGTCAAGCCATCCCCCACGTCCCCATTTCCTACACAAGATGGCCTCCCCATCCCACTTTCCGTCCCAAAAGGAAACAGCGCTCAGTCCTTACACAGCGACCTCTCGATCAATCCTTACAGCTCTCCATCAATCCTTACTGAGCGATCAATCCTTCAATCCTTACAGAGCGATCTCTCGATCAATCCCTACAAAGCAAACTTTCGATCAATCCTTACAAAGCGACCTCTCCATCAGCCTCTCCAGCGACCTCTCGATGAATCCTTACAGAGCGACCTTTCGATCAATCCTTACAGCTCTCAATCAATCCTTAATCCTTACAAAGCGACCTCTCGATCAATCCTCAATCCTTACGAAGCAACCTCTCGATCAATCCTCAATCCTTACAAAACAGCCTTCCTATCAATCCTTACAAAGCGACCTCTCGATCAATCCTCAATCCTTACAAAGCAGCCTTCCGATCAATCCTTACAAAGCGACCTCTCGATCTGCCTCTCCAGCCTCTCGTACTCCTCGTCCTTGGCCCCCTCGTCCACCTGGTCCCAGTGGAAGTCGTCCACGGGGCTCCTCCTCTCCCCCTCCCCCTCCTCCACGGCGAACGACACGGTCAGTCCTTTATGCCTTCGCCTGTCCAGGTGTCCGGTCAGCTGGGGGACCAGGGAGCTCGCTCTCCCCGCGCCGGGGGAGTCTACCACAGCAGCCGCAGCAGCAGCAGCAGCATCACCACCACTGCTCGTCCTCTCCACACCTCCTGCCTGTACCGTCGCCGCCGTTGTCGTTGTCGTCGTATGCTTCTCATCTTTCTCGTCTTTCTCATCTTTTTCGTCTTTCTCCTCCGACCCTGAAGTGAGGAGTCGCCTGTCAGATTGCGAGCCGGCCAAAGAGAGAGACGACGAGCCCATGCCATTGCCATTACGACCTACGTCATTACGACCCACGCCATTACGACCTACGCCATTACGACCTACGCCATCACTAACTACGCCATTACGACCTACGCCATCACTAACTACGCCATTACGACCTACGTCATCACTAACTACGCCATTACGACCTACGTCATCACTAACTACGCCATTACGACCTACGTCATCACGACTTACGCCATTATGAGGCGACGACAGGGTCCTTGACAACTCCAAGATGTCGGCGTCTCTGAACAAGTTGTCCGCCACGATGTTCCGCGGCTTGTGCTGGTCCCCGCCCCCGCCCCCCTCGCTCACCGCGGCGACAGACACGTGAACCCTCCTCTCTTCACTCACCTCCGACCCCGCCCTCTTTCTCTTCTCCACCACGTCAGCAGCTACAGGACTCGTTGATACATCATTATCATTGGTGCTCCCATTCTCCGAGGCAGAAGTTGCTTCGGGTCCGACGAACCCCGGCCCTCCGGATTGCCCCCCTGCTGCCGTGTTTAAATTTATCTTACTCAACTTCCCATGATCCTCCACATTCTCCGAGCTGCTCTCAAAAGACGACTGGGCCTTGGTCAGTATCCGGTCAACCAATTTCCGAGCAGCCTCGTCCTCGTCCTCACCGGAGATATTCAGGAAGGAACCCTGACCATCCGCATCCCCCGCCCCCTTGCCACCACCACCCGCCTCCTGAACCATCTCCTGCCCGCCTCCGCCTCCAGGTCCCATCTCGCGGTCTACAGGTGTAGCATGGTCCCTCTGAGCCCCCGTCTGTCCGGTCCTCTCAGTCTCACTGGAAGCCTTCGCGTCTGCAGCTGCAGCAAACGACGGCTGGTAGGTGGACAGATCAGACGTGAACAAATAATCTCCCTCCTCCTCCGGGAACTTCACGGAAAAGGCTGCCGTCTCAATTGGCGGCTCGGAAAAACCACCAGCGACCCTCTCCTTTCCCTCCTCCTCGTCACCATCATCATCTCCGATCTTGCGATCACGGCTTGCCGACGTCGTCCCGAGCCCGTCGTCGTCGTCCAACGGCCCATCCGTGACGTCGTCATAGCCGCCCGAGTATCTTCGCGTGTGTCGGTGTTCATGTCGGTGGGAGTGTCGGTGGGTGTCTCTCAGCTGCTCCTCCAGTACCTCGATGAGCGCGTCGATCCCGCTGACGTCAGACCCACACTCGCTGACCCTGTCCTCGATTACCTCTGTGACCTCGTCGCTGACCCCTCCTCCGCCCATCCCGCCCGTCCCGCCCTCCACCCCCGTCACCACCACGTCAGGGATGAATCCTACCGATACGGATTTCTCACCGACACCGTCACCGACACCAACACCGACGTCCGTGGATAGATAGCTCTCGCCACCGATACGATCTGCCTCTACGACATGCCCATCGCCGTCACCGCTGATAAAAGAGGAATTCTCCTTGACGCCATCGGCAGATGCTTGAAGTTCTCGGATATCGCAAGCCGAAACGTCATTCTTCTTCTTTTCATCAGCCGCCACCGACACCTGCTTCTCTCCGTCTGCCGACACCGTCAGGCCCGTGTCGTCAGAGGGCGTACCAGTACCACTAGCGGGTGAGGACCCGGCCTGACTTTTCTCCGCACAAAGTTTCCTCTGCCTCCTCTTTCTCCTCCTCCTCTCCCCGGCCTCCGAGCTCCCGTCCCCTCCGCCGACACCACCCACCTCCCTCCTCCCCCCGCCGCTCCCCTCCCCACTCTCCAGATCTGCCATGTAGTTGCTCTCCCTCCTCCTCCCCGCTCCCTCCCCTGAGGCGTCCGACCCGCTCTGCTCACACGGACTCGCTGTCTCGTTTTCGGGCGGCGGTAGTTTCCTAGAGCTATGGCGTCCAATCTCCATGGCAACCGCTGGGCTACCCTCACCCTCACCAGTCTCGATGACCCCTGCGTTTTTGTCGTAGTCCACGAAGGTAGAGGGAATAAACTTTCCAGTACAGTCCGGAGTCTGTCCTTGAGGGGGCTCCACCGCGCGAATTGCATCAGACCCGAGCTTGTCTGAGGGATATTTCTCTCCGTCTCCACTGCCTCCTTCTCTCCACGCCGTCTCCAGGTTCACCTCACTCGAGTTTAGCCCCTCGCCAACAACCTCCCTCGTCTCTTTATCTGCTCTCTTCAGTCCCACAACCCCCTCCCCCACAACAACCCCCACCCCTACAGCCCCCTCCCCTTCACCAACAGTGGGTTCCATAGCACGTCCATTGTGCACACCTCCAAGCCTACCCTCATGTGACCTACTCTGGCCTTTCAAGATATCCGCAGTCACCTCCCCTGTCACCACAACACCCTTTTCTTCTCCTCCCCCACTAGCCCCCTCGACAACTCTCTCGTTTTCTGGCAACATAGGAGAGTCTTCACCTACAATAGGTGCCGTGACGTCATCCACATTTGCCGTTCTACCAATCCCCCTCGCCCTCCCCCTCGCCCTCGTCCTCCCGTCTACAACGTCATCAGCAGCGTCATACTTCCGGCCGGGCGTGTTGACGGACAGACTCAGGACTTCTGGTTGACCCCCTTGACCCCTGTGGGCCAGGTCCTGGTGTCTGAGGACGGACAGTGTACTTCTGGTGGCCTCGAACTCTCGCCGGTCCACAAGAGGAACTTCGGTCAGGGCCTGATGGTGTTTGGCGTAACGATCCTCCTCTCTCTCGACGCACTTCGTGCCCACGATCTCCGCCCGTGAGGAGTCCCCCACCCCAACACTTTCAGCAGACACCCTATCGTCTGCTGCCACGTCACCGCCAACCGCCACCCCTTCCCCTACACGCTGCTCTCCACCCACCCCACCAACCTCCTTCCCGCCCTCACCTCTCGGCATCTCGCCAAACCTCGGCGCTGTCACGTCACATTCAACATTTCCATCCTTCTCGTGATCTGTAGGAATCACCTGACCACCTCCAGAGGCGAGAGGCGAGGGTCCCCCCGCGGTGCAGCGAGTTTGCATTACCCTGTCGTCGGCGCCCACCCTGTAAAGACGCGGCGTCGGCTCTGCCACAAAACTGTGGTGGTAGAAGGAGGAAGCAGGCCCTGCCTCTCTCGTCTGTCGACTCCCCGCGTCATGGGCCGCCCCCTCGAGCTCTCCCTCAGAGTCCAGCCTCGTGTGCTCCGTCCTGTACCCCTCACGTCCTCCCCCGCTGGTCACCAACCTCCGGGACTTGTGCTTGTAGTGTGGGTGGACCTCCACGTCCATTTCCTCCTCTGAAGCGTCTTCATCTTCTCTTAGAGCTATCTGGTCACCAGATTGACCACTTCCTCCAGCCTCTAGAGGCGGGCTTCGGACGTGACGATCTTTCGTCCGTCTTTCTTTCCTGTCTCCTCTCATGTCATCATCTTTGTGTCTTTTCTCCTCCTCCTTTCTATCCATCTCTTGCCTCAATCTCTCCGCCTTGGCCACCCCATCTACCTCTCTCCGCGTGTCAACCAACACTCTATACTCCGGTGTTTCTTCCTCCTCCTCCTCCTCTCTACACCGACTCGTCTTCTCCTTCACCTCAACCGTGCTGTGCGTCACAACCACCATCGCTCTCGACGCTTCAGGCGACGCCACATCGGCCGACCCTTGACCTTTATTAACGATGACGTAATCTTTGACCCCGCACATCTCCTGCTCGATGTCGGACACGCTGGCGCGCTCATCTCGCGCTAACAGTTTGGAGTAGGTCTCATCGTCATCATCCCCCTCCTCGCCGTTCCCCGCGCTCTCCTCACTATCGCCCACGTACCCTCGGATCACCGTCTCAGGCGGGCTGAGGTCTCGGTAGAAGTACTGACCATGCCGCTTGCTCCCGTCCTGCAGGTTGGCCGCCAGAGCCCGAGACTTCTTCCTCATCTCCACCGCCTCCTCCTCCCTCTCCTTCGCCTGCTGGATCAGGTACCGGTTCTCCCCCGTCTTCTCCATGGGGATCGTGGTGATCTCACCCTCCACACGCCCGCCAGCAGCTCTGACCTCGGACCTCACCCCGGGTCCCACCCGCCCGCCTCCTCCACCCGTCTCCATGGAGACCTCTGTCGGCCTCGTGGCCATCTTGTGTTTGCTACGACTACGTTTCGACACCCTCTCCCCTCTGTCTACTTCACGCTTGCAAACTTTCTTCAAGCCTCTCTTCGACCTTCGACCCCCTGACCTACTTTCCGCACCCTCCCCCATACCAGCTGTGTTACTTCTATTTTTATCCGACCCTTGTCCAGGCCTCCTCAGCCCGGTGTAGCCCGCCTCCTGGTCACTCGTTTGACCTCTGACCTCAGATTCGGGCAAGTTCACCTTGTCCAGCTCAAAGCCTCCCTCCCCCCTAGCCGCGTCTTCCACGGGAGCCAAGTCCACTATAAGCTCTTGGCCCACAGACTTGGCCTTACTTATTGCCTGACCTTGGCCTACTTCCTCGTCCCCTGTCCAGTTCTGGAGTACTTTTGGCATCTCCGTCTTGCGCGTGCCGTGACGGACAACGACTTCAGGGTGACGTGCCTCGGGCGGCTTGAGCTTCGCGTCGTTGAGTCTAACCTCCCCCTCTGAGAGACTGTCGCTACATGATTCGGACGCTGGGATATTCTTCATGTTAACTCGCGGGGACGTTTTCGGGGACATGGTATTATTTGGGGTCATTTTGGGGGACCATTTATCCCCCTTATGTCCCTCCCTGCCAGACGGGTACTTTTTACCCGCAACTTTTTTCTCCCTCGGCAAAGGGGACATTTTCCCCTCTCCACTGCTCTCCTCGGCTGACAGTGATCTACGACTACAACTACTCTCAGAACGTTCCCCGCTAGAGGAACTCTCCTCCTCCTCCTCCCTCTCCCTCTCACTCTCCCTCTCCCTCCCCCCGTCCGCCTCATCTTCCCCCTCCCCAGCGCCCCCAGCAGCACGCGACTCACTCTCAGGCTTTTTACTGCTCTGGGCCTTGCTCCCAAAGTCCGGTCCGTGAAGATGACCCACGCTCTCAGACTTGCGCGGCGATGAGGCCATCTCGGATTCGATCTCCGACACCTCGTCCGCGGTATCGGCACCACCGTGGCCTCCTCCACCCCCTCCGCCCCGGCCGCCTCCGCCCGACGACTGTTTGCCGGCCTTGTTGCTGACCCCTGACCCTTCCCCTCTGGGGTCAAGGTCGGGTTTGTTGGCCGCCGTGTCCTCGGCGTGGGCAGCGGCGCTGGAAGTTGTCGAGGATTTTTTCTTCCCTTCCTCCTTCGTCGCCGCTCTCCGCGAAGCCACATCTCTCCTTTCGGCGGCTGCTTCTTCTCCGCTCTTCTTCTTCTTCGCCTTCTTCGACTTCTCTTTCTGGTCCTCTTCGACTGTCTCTTCCTTGACATACGTGCCAGATCCCTCCTCCTCCTCCCCGTCCTCATCTTCCTCAAAATCGTTGTCGTAGTCGTCATCAGCTCGGCTCCGCTCGTCTTCCGTCTTGGCCAGCATCCTCGCCTTGTACTCGTAATAACTCTCGCCCTCAGAGCAGCTGCTATCGGAGACGGACTCTTCCCTGCTCGCCTTCGTCTTCTTCCTCTCCTGCTTCTCATCTATCTCTTTTCTTCCTCTGTCTCTGTTTTCTTTCTTACTTTTCTCTTCTTTCTTCTTTCTTTCCTGCTTCTCGGACCGATGACCCGAGTGCCCTTGGTGCTTCCGGCCCTTGATGGGGGCTCGGGCTCGCTCGTCGGCTTCGCGGAGCACGTGTGACGTCTGTTGCCAAGGACGCGAGACCATGGCCCCGCCCTCCTCCTCCTCGTCACTGCCGCGTTCTCGCGAGTACACGTCGTGGTAGGAGTAGTCTGTGGGCGGATAAACCGGGAACTAGGTTAAAAACAACAACAACAACAACAACAACAACAACAACAACAACAACAGCAACAGCAACAACAGCAACAAAATAAAAACAAGAAATAGGGTTATTAGGATGAAAATGAAACAATATTACTATCACAGTGATTTATCTGAATATCTGGCTGAACACAAGCCAATAGTGGTGGGCAAAATCCTGATAACCTATCCAGATAACCGGATAATTCTCAATGAAACACTATCCGAATTCCGACTCTTAAACTCTCTTTCCTAACCCGTCTGCCGAAGTGGGTGCACTCATTTCTTGAAGTGGTTCTAACCTGTTTGTCGAAGTCATTCTAGCCCATTTGCAGAAACGGTTCATAATAACACATTTCACTGCCGAAGAGGTGCACTAACATCCGGATTTTTACTAAAGCGACTCATTGCCCAGCCCTACAAGCCAACTAACCAACTGACGTAGAGTGTATGTTGGAGGTGGGAAGTTCACATGATATAAAGTCGCAGCCTACTTTTCGATAAATAATGAAAAAAAAAACCATTCTGCCATTGATTGGGTCTTCAATAACATAACTAAATTATCCTAAGCATATAACAACCATACCCCCGTCTTCAGAAACCATGTATGTTCTGTCGACGCTAGGAAAAAAATAAGTTTCCATGATAAACTTATGTCACATAAATTTGTCAAATGAAAATCCTTGTAAATGACCTCTCAGTCTTTCAACCATCTTCCTTTGCGTACAAAGGGCGTAAAACTTTAAATAAAACTGACACACACTGGTGGTTATAAGTTATAAATCAAAATGCTCTTTAAAAAATTATGATGGCTTCTATTTTGGGAATTTTAAAATTATTATTTGGGGGGGGGGGTGTTTATGTAATGCAGTAGGGTGACCGCTACCTGAATTGACAGAGTCATCACAACATTATATGATATGACATAATAACATGACATAACGTGACATCCAGCTGATGATGGAGCCAATCAGCCTGCCCACACTGAAATGGACCCTCATGAAGAGGGGCGAGGAAGCATGGAGCATACCGTCTTCCTAAGACCCCAGTTCTACATTCAAGTATTCAAGTAATAACACGACAAGACACAGACTGACACAGACTGACAACTGACCTGTGTAGAATCCAGTGTCTGGTGCAGGCTCAGTGCAAAAGTGACCAACAGGCAGTGTGTGACGTCAGCAAACAGAACGGCACGCGCAATGAGGAGAGGTGAGGTGAGCCACGCATGCACAGTGAGTGAATGACGTCAGCGATTGTTGACCAGTACTGACGTCAGCGAGTAGTCTTTAGTGACGTCAGCGAGCACCACAGCACACATCATATGGTGAGATGAGGTGAGGCACGCACGCACGCCCGCACGCATGCACGCACGCACGCACGCACACTACGCATTGAGTGAGTTAGTGAAACACCACCTAAAGTTACGCACAGCAAAATATGAACAAACTTGCAAACATATTATCAAAACACATGCGTGAACACACATACAAACACACACACGTACACACCCACACACACACACACATATATGTAAAACACCTAAAAAGCTATTCACACACAAAACCACACACACACACACACACACACACACACACACACACACACACACACACACCGGTGAAGAGATCCCATAAATGCCATAGCCAGCTATATATATATATATATAGCCACTGGGAACAGTGTTCTAGAAACGCTGGCAGTTCAGTTCACGAGAGTAATAATAATAATAATAAATAGCATTTTCATAACGCAAATCTCCGCTCAACAACAATCTCTAAGCGCTTCACAATCTGTACTATTACCCCAGCATACCTGAGAACATTCTTGAACAACCTCAACTTTCTGGGAAGCATACAGTGCAAGCAGCCATTTATAACCGCTAAAACACTAACATACTGACTAGATCTTTCACTGTCTATGGCCGGGTACCCCTTCCCACATGGGTGAAGAGAGGTAAATTCGTATATATATAAAGTGCCTTTCCCAAGGACACAACGTCGGGCCCGCGGCTTGAACCTCCAACCTCTCGATTACGAGTCCGGCGGCCTAACCACTAGGACTAAGACACAGCAACCAGCCAATTTCTGACAAAGATAGTACAAGACAAGATGGGCCACTTCTCTCTTTGAGCCAATTAAAAAAGTGTCCTCAAAATTTGGT